AAACCAACTCAAAATACATCGTCAATAGCTCAATTTATCAATTTAGCGTTTAAATATATCCGTAAATCCTTCCTTATAATAATAATAGCAAAACAAACACAATGATGAAGTAGAGAAACAAAATGTCGTAAAAGAAAAATTCAAGATCAAGTACACATTTTTTTTCCTTGATTCTTCTTTTTTTTTGAAAAACTTGACTTTAACTCAAAAACTCAGACCAATTGGCAATGAAGAAATGGTAAATAATAACAATCCCCTAACCCCCATAATATCTTTTCAAATGTTCGTGTGTGGGCTCCGGATTTTTTTTTTTTGTTGAAAAAAAGAATTCTAAAAAAGAATTATTCTTTCAGAGTTTTTTTTTCTTAGTGTTTCCGTTATTTTTATCATTACATTTATCGATGACATATGCAATAATTCCATATATTTGATGACTAACGATTTGATTTTTTAACAAACAATCAACAAGTGCATATACGCAAATCATTCTTGTTTTATTTTATTTTCTCTGTTGTTGTTAATAGTTGTCGTTTCTAATGATGTTGTGTATTATTATTATATCACATGTTTACCCAAAATGTTTATCATCGTCATCATATTAATGGATGGATACCGTTTATGGAGCCAATTAGATTTTTTTTTCCAAAATATTTTTGTATTTTTTGTTGAAAAGTAGCAACCAAATAAATCTAAAAAATGGTATCGTATCGATTTGTGGTGTTACCAATTATTGACATTGATAATTTATGACGTCTACTTATCAAATATTGACAATTCATTCATTATTTGTTTACAATAATTTTTATTTCATAATGCAATTGCATTCCAAAAATCCAGAAACTTTTTTTTTGGTATAATTGTCGTTTTTTTTGATGGTTGATAATAAATAGAAAAGAATCGATTTTTGTCACAAATATTGAATGAATGGAAAACAAAACAAAACAAAACAAAACCAAAAAATTCAAATGCAATTAATTTATTGGCAAAACGCGCCGAAGCATAATTCACAATTCATTACCACACACACACACACACACAAACATAAAAATCGAATCAAATTTCCGAATAATGTCATCGTTTTTTTTTGTTATTGTATTCAATTGCTAATGAATTTTTATCAATGATGATGATCACATGCATGCATACACACACACACACACATACATAGACATCATAATCATCAAATTCAATACAAGGGTGAATTGGTGTGTGTGTGTGTGTTTGTTTGTTGTAAAATAGAATGGTTGGTTGGCAGTTCTTATTGTTGAATTTTTTTTTATCTGATGATTAAAACAAAACAAAACAAAACAAAAATATGGAAAAAAATTCGTGACTCATTCATTTATCTGGATGACTTTGACTATGTTGTGTGCAACAGGTGAATGAATGGATGAATGAATTTTGCCATGAATGACGCCGTCATGTTATATGTGTGATACATACGAACATCTGTATATTATGTGTCGATTTGATTTGAAAAGATAAATCTTTTTTTCATAATAAATAAATAAATAAATATATATATAACGAATCTGGCATTGTATCAATAATTTTTTGATTTGTTTTTTTTCTGGTGAATGGTGATGAAGAAGAATAATAATCATACATATATCAATTAACACATGGAACATCTGTTTTTTTTTGTTATTATATTGTTCTATTTGTTCAAATGTGTTCAATGATTACATGTGTTGATGATGATGGTTATTGAATCATCAATTGGTTAGTTTGATTTTAAATAATTAAATTGTTCATTTTGTTTCACATTTTAATTATTACATCACCATATTGTTCCATTAATTTAAATCAAATATTTGATCCTTTTTTTGTTCCGTTTAATCTGATCATATCTAATCGTGACGGATTTTTTATTTTATTTTTGTTTGAATAATATCACCGTCGTTTAGTTTTACCTGGCTAAATAAAGAGATATTCATCGACACGATTAATCTGGCTATTTTTTTTTTTGTATTTATGTTGTTTTTTTTGCATTACGAATTTTTTTTGTATATGATAATAATCATATTATAAACATTTATTATACAAGGAAGAAATTGTAAGAATTGATGCTGAAGCCTGATAATAATAATGCAACGAACCTTTTACCTGCATACATTTGTTTATTTATTTATCCATTTGTTTGTTTTTATTTTCACTATATAATAATAATAATATTAATATTATATATGGTAAACTTACACTCATTTTGAAAGAATGATGATGATGAGATACGCCAACGATGTTGTTATGTGAGATGAAAAGGATTATATATAGCCAAATATATATCGGTCGACCATGATTGTTTTCCTATTTTGCTTGTTTTATCCCCCACTTTATATATGTATTAGATACATTTTACCAGAATGATATGGATTCAATTGAATTTTGATTGAATGAACTGAATATATGTTATCGTCATCATAATACATTGATTGATATGGATGTAACTGATATATATAGATAGATATGATTTGTTTAATCTTGATGTTTTTTGTTTTGTTTGGTTGTCCGACTTCATAGGTTTTGTTAACGAAGGTTTCGTGGGTAGTTAGACGAATAGGAAGAAGCCATTCTTTGTCGTTCTCTTTTTTTTAAAGAAATGATGGCACCTTAATTTATTGTGTCGGTGTTGATTTTCCTATCGTTGTCATCGTTAATTAATAGCCCTTCTTGTAATGGTTTGTATGTATGTGTGTTGGCGTTTCTTTTCGGTCAATTGATCTGTGTACCCTATATAAAATTTTACCGCTTTTAACAGTTAGTATTCAGGAAAATACAAATTAAATGTCAAATCAATGAATGTTCAAGTATTACTATCATGATGATAATCATGACAGCCACTATATTTCTCGGTATTGTGTCTGTTTGAATTATGTTCCTGTTATGGTGATAACTCGTTTTATTACCGATCATCGTCATCTGAATTTCATATACCCCCTTTTCTTTCAATGCTAATGTTAATCATTTGGCGTACCACGTTACCCATCGTAGATGTGGGTAGGAAACAGAAACTCTTTAAAAAAAAAAAAAAAACATTGGTCAGTGAGAGAAAGACCATGAGATATCCATAATACAAAATTTTACAAATGTACATATGATTCGTTGATCTAGACTAGAACCGACAGACCGTTTTGGATTGATCGCCGTCGTCGTTGTTTATCCTCTGGCAATCTTGAAGCTAACTGGACCGTTGTCTAACAGTTGTATTAAGTCAGATGGTTGGTTGGTCGATCACTGTCTCATTATTATGCCAAATTTCTTCATATATCATCATCATCATCATCATCATCATTCGAAAACATTCCTTTACTTAACTGAATATCTAATATTCAACCTGAATAGAAGAGTATATTCTTTTCCACTATTTTCACGTTTGTCATGATTTGACTATTTATTTGTCCCATTTACCATCTGAATCATTAAAATTGATTGTGGAGAAACAAAAAACAAACCAAACTCAAAGATTTTCTTCATAGACATTTTGATTCATTTTTTATTATTGAAATGATGATATATTCATTTACGAAAAAAAATTGAATAAATAAATGATTGAACATGACTGACGACCCTTACGTTGTTTATGGTTTTTCAATACATCTGTGGTCAGTAAATACCACTCAGTAATGTATAATGGTGGATAAGGGAAAAAAATTTAAACTTTGAATAATGACACCAATTTCCAACTCTAATTAACATCACGCTTTTTTCACAACGAAAAAAAAAACATTTTCATTCTGACAACCGTTTCGTATGTATATATGGTGGCCATCATGATTTGGAATTCGCATTTTTTCTATTTGTTTTCCAGTATAAATTTGTTTTATCTGTTAGGTTTTTGTTAGTTGGCTTGTTGTCTGAATGGCCAATAACAAAATGCCCGAATAACTATTCACATTAGCCATTGGATTTTTTTCTGTGTGTTTATTCGATGGTCATAATATCTTTATCTTTATGTTTTCTAATGAAGTAAATTCAACGTGGACCTTTGGATTTCGGCCATGTTGAATGGAAAAAAGGGAAAATTTCTTGCTAAAAAAAATGATATCAAGATTTTCATTAGTTTCATTCTGCAGTATGAATTTTAAATTGCGACAATAAAATTCGGATCTATTTTTTTTATTCATTCTTCCTTATTATTGTGATTGTGATGATAATCAAATCAAATCAAGATCAAAATCATTAAGAAAAAAAAATGCACAAGAAAAATCATAAGAGAAAAGTTTATTGCAAAACCAGCTGATTATATTGGAATTTTTTTTTCTTTGAGATTTGATCGGATGAGGTCAAAGGCAAGCAAATTCGATTTATGTGCAAATTTATATATGACCCAATCTTTGGTCAAATATAATCAGTTTGTTATGTAGTATTTGTTGTTGTTGTTGTTGTTGTGTGGTGAATATTATTTATTTATTTTTCTTTATCTAACATGCAGCAGAAGCCGTGATTTTGAACTCCCTTCTTGTTTTTTCTTTGGAGGCTACCCATTTGTATGATGATGATGATGATAATGTATGATGAGAGATGTGTTGATTTGATTTAGCCTTCGTTTTTTTTGGTACAGCCTGATACAAAAGATTGCCTAATAAATTCGTGTCAGTCGAATGAAATTCATTTCAAAGTTGGAAACGAAAAAAATACCTGTTGTCGCTTTCACCTAATTTATACGATTTTTCACATGTCAGATTAGGGTAGTTTGTTGTATATGATGATGGGAAGAATAACCTGGATGAAGAGAGCAGAAATGATGATGATGATGATGATCACAGAAAGCGAAACGAAAATATCCAAGTAAACCGGTTCAGTGAATGATGATTTTTTTTTCTTATTTCTGGATTCTCAGAATTTTCAATTAACTTTGTACGTGAAAATCTCATTGAATATAACCGAAATTTTTTTTCTAATACAAATTGGATTGTTCGATTTTTTTTTCTTATGAAATTCAATTGTTTTTTTAAATTTAATTTCAAATCTTTTTTTTCCTATTTTTTTTATTGATCTAGCTTGAAGATTGTACATTTCAATTATATAAATTTAACATCGAAACAAATGAATGTGAATATGGAAATTATATTGATCTGGAGATGAATATCGATGAACAAAATGAAGAATTGGATGGCTTCTTATCAAGGTGAGTGATTTGATTTGATTTTTTCGAAATCTTTTTTTTTTTTTTTTTTTGATTTGATTTGATTTGATTTGATTGGATCAACTCACACACAAACACACTTATTGTACGTTTAAAAAAGATTCGATCTTATAATATAGAAGACATATTTAGGACTTGATCGAGTTTGAATGATTTTTGAATTATCTTTCTTTCTTTCTTTCTGCAATGTATGTGTGTGTGTGAATACATCATCATCATATGTCATCTTCCTGGCATATTATCGTAAGACGTCCAGTTATAGTATGTTATTCATTTGCGATTATCGGTTTCAATCATTTTGATTATATATGAATCATTTCTTCCTTTTTGCTCAAATCTCTGTCTATGTGTGTGTGTGTGTGTGTGTTTATGTTCTTCACGCTTCACTGTCAGTGATTTTTTCTTGAATTGAATTTGAAAATTCCAAAAATATTTTTTTTCTACATATTATACTTTGTAGAAAAAATAAGATTTTTTTTCTATTTTATTGTTGTTTGTGTGTGTGTGCATTGTATTCAATTCGAAATTTTGAAAACATGTATGCAATGATATCATTTGAAATCGTTCAATCTATATAATAATAATAATAGAAATGAATAATGGATAATCTGATAATGTTTTGGATTCAAAAAAAATGATTTTCCATAGTAATCAAATGATCAAATAATCGATTATTTTCAATCATCGATTATTCACTATTTAACAATATATGATAAGGTTAGATTTACCAATTTGAGAATATGAAAATTTTTTTTTTTCTTTAAAATATCAATGATGATATATCTAGACACACATATCTTTAACCTTGATGTAAAATTCAAACAAAAAGTATCATCATGCAACAGTTTGGTAGTGTTTTTTTTTCGTTTATACAATACAAAACTATCATTATATGTGAAAAAATAAAGGAGTGATTTTTTTTTCTTCACATGATGATGATGATGATGATTTGCCATTATTATAAATTTTAACCAACAAAATATGGATGGGTGAATGGTCAGCCAAAAGTTGGTATATAAATAGAAAAAGATCTGTTCAACATAATATCATCAATTGTTATCTGTTCTAGATGAAACTCAATACACACATTTCATTATTCGAATAATTCATTCTTTTTTTCTCAATCTATCTCTATGGGGTGCATGATGATGATCATCATCATCATCGCCCATGACCACGATGATTATCATCAATAATCAATGTTTGTAAGTGTATAAGTTATTTATTTTTGTTCGAATAATGGTATCATCCAATAATATTGCATAATTTAGGCAATATTAAAATTACGACATATATATTTTTGAATGTTTGTATGTTTGTTGTATACAGTTAATATATTATATGTGATATATGATTTCATGAACAAATCATCATGTGAATAGCCAAAATTTTTCTATAGTCACAAAATCACCTGTATATATGATCATTAATTTGGACGATTATCATTGTAATGTTCATTTGAAATGATGATGCTAATATTGTGATTATCTTAGTTTGCCAAAACGTGACAGTGAGACATCATTATATTATGGCAATAGTGAAAATTTATTCGGAAGAAAACAAATCTGAATAACATTATCACACATATACACACACACACACACACACACTGATGTTGACTGACTGAAAATCGATTTAATCATATCATTGGGTCAATTTTTCATCACCATTAACAACATCAAGCACAATTGCTTATAATCCATGCTTTAAATAGAGTGTGTATTTGTTTGCTTGTAACGATGGTTTGAAAATTTTCCTCTCGTTCTCATAATGTTTATATTTTTAATATTTTAATAGACTGATTATTAGGAAAAAAAACAACAAAAAAATCAGCATGAATACAAAGAAAAAAAAATGTCGATCCATTGTGTATTGGGATTTTTGTTTTTCACATCCACACACTTTAAATAGGAAATTCGTATATGGAAAAAGAAACAAAAACAAATGTCAAGTGATAAATTTTACCTTGATTGAGGATGATGATATTTATCGTGTCGTTTAACGGTGATAATGATGATGATGATGATGGTGTTCAAGGTGCCAATATATAATATTGCAAAAAAACGAAACAATTTGGCCGACAGCTGAATGTTCGGACACTTTCTAAGAAGTGAGAAACAAAAATAACAAAAAAAAATACAATCGCAAAACATTTATTGTATTGATCAGTGTGTTGTGTTCGTTTGATTATTATGAATGAATGATAATCATTTTTCCATACTTGAAAATTGAATTTCCATACAATTTTCCTTCTAACAAACGATGGCCATCATATATAATAATTGGTCCATTCAATCGTTTCCATTCCCGATCATATTGTTTGACCAAAAACGGTCTTTGTTTTTTATTAAAATCGTTTACTTGGTCATCATCACCATGGTGCAAACAAATCATCATCATCATTTCGATATTTACAGATCATTGAAGAAAAATAAACTCATCACATCCATCTATCCGTCTGTGACGTTTCTAACGTTCATGAACTTGAACATTTTTTTCTCCTTTCATTTCATTTTTTTTATCCTCATAGATTGTGTTGAATTGTTACACAATGTTTAATGGCTATTGTTTTCAATGATTGGGTCATGTGAAATTGTATCGGTGTAGATGATGATGATGATAGGATAGGAATGTGTATTATAATTTTAAGATTTGGCGTCATCATCACCATAGTAGTTTTATGTGGATCAAAAAAACTTTAACCAAAAAAAAAAATCGAATCGAAAATACATTTTTATAGAGTTTTTTTCTTGATTTTTACGGAAACGGAAATAAAACAATCATAATCAATGGAATCATGTATCATGGATAGATAGAAATCCTGTTAATGTCTTACTCTTGTCTTTGTCACATTCTCATCGTTATTTATATGAATGTTGGCAACCCAATAAGCAATTGCAACAAGTTCTCACGCAAGGACAAACACACACACACACACAGAGAGAGAGAGAGGGAGATTCAAATTCAGATCATTGAGAAAAAAAAATTCATTCTTGTCCCCGTTTGTTGGTTTGTTGTTGTGTTTTAATTTCGTTTTTGAATCGCTTCAACGGGCGCCAAGTTTTTTTTCTTTTTCAACTATAGGATTTTTTTTTGTTGAAAAATCAAGCCAATAATAAATGATAGTTTAGATTAATGTTATTCGGCAACAATATATATATACAAATAGATAGTCGTCACCAGTTGAACACTTGAATTTTTTTTTCTTTAAAAAAAGATCATTGTTATTCTCCATTTGTGCGTGTGTGTGTGTGAGTTCTTATCCGGCCAATGACCTGATCCAATACATTCATCATTAACCAAAAAAATTTTTGGCTTTCCTTTCATGATGATGATTTTTATTTCTTTTTTTTTGCCTTTGACTTTTGAACTTAAATAAATGTTACTCTTTGTTGTTGTTGTTGTTGCTGTTTTGGTAGTTGGTAGGTTGTCATTATTTGTAGCAAGACAAAAGAAACACCATAGGAACCGGTTAGGACCAATGGGTTAACTCACACGCATCACAGGGAGACACCATCACCATGATGATTATGATGGACAAAAACAACCGTCCTTTGTTTTTCATTACCTTTTTTTTATCTATCATTATTATTATCATCATTTGACAATATATGTGTATTCATTCTAACATGGAATTTTTCAGATTTTTTTTATCTTGTTTTCTTTTTTTTTCTTGATAGTCGATATATAGTTACAATTAAATGCTTATTATTATTCTTGTTTTTTCTTATCACTCATTCCATACACGAACAAAATCTGTCTATACAATCATTTATCACATTCAATGATGTATATCTTCGTACATCATCATCATAGTCATAATCATTCATTCATTCATTCATCGATCAATCAATCAATCTTTCTATCTAATAGTTTCATCAATATTTTATCAAGGTAATTTAATGTCGATTATCAATACAATCAATACTTCATAATAATAATAATGATAATATTAAACATCCATGAAGTATCATCATTATAAAAAAAACTAGATAACATGTATAGAGAGAGAAAAAAAAATATTACGAAAATGATGATGATGATGATGATGATGATGATGAATTGCTTTATTCCAACCGAATGATTGGATTCGGATGGTATATGATGTCCACCTTGTATTTTTTTTTTTGTCAAAGTCAATTTTTCTTTGCAAGATTAAATGGCCAAAAAAAAAAAAATAGAAAACATGTTTCCTCAATGTTCATTACATACCTGAAGGCCTTTTTTTCTTGTCGTGTGTGATGCGACCTTTGATGATGCGGAAGGTAGTTCTAGCTAAATTTTTGAATGGGTGATAGAGGAATATATAGACTTTTCGGTTTTCTGAATATGTGTTTAATGTTGTTTTTCATTATATAATGTATATTACCGAAATAGATATGAAGAATTGATGTATTTAGAAATTTAAATTATCATCATTTTTTTTCTTAAAAATTTTCTCTAAAAAAATTAGTACCTTTAAAATAAACTAAAAATTTAAATTTTTTACTGATTTGTTTCCTTTATTTTTTTTCTTCTTTTTCCCCGAATAAAAAACAGTCGCAAGAATGCGGTCATTTTACGAACCAAACTATCGGTACGCGTTCATGCTATTATTGGTAAGTGTTGACTGAATTTTCTTTTCTTTTTTTAAAACCTATTTATAATCACACATTCCGTAACCAACAAATAAAAATGATGGATCATTTTCACATGAATTGAAAATGGACCAAACAAACAACAACAAAACGAATGAGAACATTTCAAATGTAGATCAATGAAAAACAAAAATTCGTTTTTCTCGAAATAAAAAAATAAATTCACTACGTTCATTTCACATTTTACATCAAATTAAATCAGATATATTCTCATTTTATTTAAGATATGAAATTATTCCAGATTATACTTTTCGTTTTAAGTCAATCAATTAAATGTTTGCTCTAAATCACATGTATATACCCCTGCTGATTGACCACCACTTATGAAAAGATTTTAAAGTTTTTAAGAAAAAAAAATACGATATAATCATCCTCCTCCTCATTATTATTATTATTATTAATTATATTCTCATCAATGTATCTTTTCATCATCATCATCTATCTGATTGAATGAATGAATGAAATGTGACTCTTATCTTTACCATCGGTGAATCTATCTTTATTTTACATCATTTTGCCGGTATCATCATCGTACCGTTTAATTTTGTTGTTGTTGTTGTTGTTGAATTGATGATGAAAAAAAAAATTACAACTAGGGTCGTACTGTCGAAAATGTCATTCCCATTATCGTTTTTTTTCTCTATCTCAGTTTTTTTTAATAAGCTTTTCGCAGTATTATACAAGCCATTTTTTTTTGATGATCGAAGACCATCATCATCATCAACATCATTACTATCATCAATGGTCATGATGGCTAAATACATGATCGATTGCCTATTTAATGTTTATTAGTTTTTTAGTTTTATACAATTGTACCTTGTTACTGATTTCTGAAATGATCATTTTTTTTAATATCGACAAGCATAATGTCCGATATGATCACCATACACACGCACACACACACACACACACATTATCTGATTCATTCCGAATGAAGATAAATGTCTTTTTAGTTGCTTCAACTGTACTACATTTGTATTATTAATAATAATGGACAAAAAAGATATATAATTCACGAAATACATGTGTGTGTGTGTGTGTGTGTGTGTGTTTACAATATTTTTCATATTTTTTCTCATTAGTTGACTTAATGAAATATATATAAAGTATATGATACGCATTTTTAATTAACAAGCTTTGTACAGATTTTTTTTTTTTTTTTTCTTCCTTTCTACTTTTATTTCTTATCCAATTTTTCATTCATAATCGCATTTATAACACACATTTTGTCGTCCCATTGTTTAAGGGTGTTGTTATGATATTTAGCCAAGATAATTATCATTGGCATTAGATTTTATATGAAAAATGTATCTTTATTTCATGCACACACACACATTCATGTTTAGACACCATAAATTGCTACGAAAAATGTACCATATTTTGTTCCTGTCATAAGATATGTTTGTTTTGTTTTTTTTTTTTTTTGGCAAGCTTCCTGTTCCTCGACATATATGGTCATTGGTGAACAATTCATCCATCCATCCATCCATTCATCTATTGGATTCGATCCATATGACAATAGCTCAAACAATATCAAATTTCTTTTCATATATAATATTTAAAAGGAAAAAAAAAATCAAATCAATTTGATTGTTTAGGAAATCAAAACCAAAAAAAAAAAAAAAAAAATAAAAAAAGAAAAATAGCTACATTGTTCGTTAGTTGCCATCATGAAATGATGGCTAAAAAAATGATAAAATCAATCATTTTATTCGAGAAATAAAAAAAAAAATTTCCCCTGCCTACTATTCTGGTTCTCATCATTTGTATTCAATGTGATTCAATCTATAGATTGTTAGTCTAATCAATTTTTAAAATCTATTATTACTACAACCACCATCACTATCATCATTTCATCATCAACATCATCGTTGTTGGTAGGTTAGTTGGCCATTTGTTGGAATCCGTATGTTTATGTGAATATGCATTCACGATCTTGTAGCAAGCCGACATTTTTTATTTTATTTCTGGGAGCGTTATAGTTGATGCAAATGCCAATCTATACATACATTACCTGTATATGTACACATGCCACACAAACTGCAACAAAATATTCAAACTATAAAAATCAACTGCTGTTGTTGTTGCTGTAGTAATTTCATTCCAACTAAACACCTTGGCAGCTATGATTTTTTTTCTTTTTTTGTTTTGTTTTGTTTTGTTTGAATGGAATGTTCAATTTGTTTTTTTTAGATAATAACAAAATGTCGAATATATTGATGTGAATGAAGGTGTTATATATGAACAAACAAAAAGGTTCATTTTAGGTTTTTTCCCATCCATCCAAAAAAAAAAATTCATTCAAATTGAATAGGATTTTTTCCCATTTTTTTTTTTTTATTTGCTCCTCATTCATTTATTCGATCGTGCTACTGGAACTGACGAAAAAAAAATTGAATGCATAAAATATAATAACAATCAATTATTTTGGATATCGAATTACAAATGAACACAAACACCTAATGATGATGATTTATATTAATCGTCTAATTAAGCTTTCCAGCTTTAAAGATTAAACGTGCAACCAAATTAATAGCCAATTTTTCTTTTCCAATGCTTAATTGAATTTTTGGCATCATTTCCAACACCGAACAATAAAAACTGATAATGATACTGATTAATCATTGATAACAGATTGATCAAAACACATTTTATTTTGTTGATGAATTTAATCAACACACAATCGGTCAAAACTTGATGAAATGATTTGCGATATGATAAGTATGATAATTTATTGATCATATCATGGCCACTTTTTTTATGATATTATGTTCGCTTACATCGGCTCCTCATCCTTCACATACATAGATCAAACTAAATTTCCTCATTTCTATTATATAATTATGATTGCTTTCCATGATACAGAACAATTTGTCATATATAAACAATTTATATATCACATCACAAAGCTAAACTAACTGTTTTCTGTTATTAAAATGAACCCTATTGTTTCTAGTTGGATTGTTTTTCAATTTTATTTTTTCTGATCATCTTTGTTTCTAAAACAACTAAAAAAAAAATGATCACTATTGTTCTATTTTAGTTGATGATTGGTTTTATTCTTCATAAGATAATTGAAATTATTTGAGCTAAGAAAAAATAGCAATTTCTGGTAACATGTGTTGTATCTGTTTGTTCTTTTGTTGATTTCATTATTGTTATATTGGTAATTTTCGTTGGTTTTTATTAATTTTCAATCTTTCTATAATTTATTAATATAGAATTTCATTGTCTGATTTTGGATTTTTTGATAACATTTTTTTTTTTTTTTTTTTGAAAATTTAAACATTATTGCAAATATAGATTTCATTGTGTTTTTTTTTCATTTCGAACAATAAAAATGATTATTAGCTATACAACAAAGATCTGCTCTAACTGCTTTGAAGTTTTATGCGAATAATTTTATCTGGACATTTGAAATCAAAAAAAAAAAAAAAAAAAAAATATTTGCGCGGTTCATGATGATTGACGTTGTCGACCCAAACAACAACGAAATAAAAATGTGTGAATCTGATTTTGTTGTTTGATTCATTTCATTATGATAATGGTGATGATGATGATGATGATGATTAAAAACAATAATAATTACCTTGTCATCATATTGCACGAGTTTGTTCGCAGGTCGTCCAACAAATCGTGTTAATGGTCTGTATAGATTAATGTAAAATTTGTTGATAAAGAAATCATGATCTACGGAAACTTTTTTTTTCTTCATTCATTTTGTTGTCTGTACTGACATTGTTGTTGATGATGTGGCTAATTAACACTGTTTGGATATTAGCATCTTTGCTTGTTAAACCAATTGTTGTTTCAAAATGAAACGAATGTTGTTGTTAATAAGACAATTATGAATCACGGAATCCAACCGGACCCGGATAAACGCATATTCCTCTTTAATTTTTTTCTCTAAAATTTCTAATTAAATCACAATCTAATATTTGATCATGTATTTTCTATTATGGATTCCATTTATTATTACAGAAAAACTTTTAAACTCTTCAGGAAAAGAATTACGTCGTGCATTGTTCTCTTTAAAGCAGATATTTCAGGTACGTACAATGATCATTAATAAGTTCAATTCATAATGTTTTTTTTTATATTTTAGTATGACAAAGATCTAGTACACGAATTTGTCCGTAATGATGGTCTAGCTTGTTTAATCAAAGTTGGATCCGAAGCCGATCAAAACTATCAAAACTATATACTCAGAGGTAAATTATTCGTTTTATTATCTATGATGATTACAATGATGATAATATCGACAATTCATTATTACAATAGCACTTGGCCAACTAATGCTTTATGTTGATGGTATGAATGGTGTAATCGAACATCCGGAAACCATACAATGGCTTTATTCGTTGATCTCTTCAGAAGTAAGCTAATCTATCCTTCTATTTTTGTTATTACTTTACTACAACAACAACAAAAAAAAAATTTTATCATTTTCAGTATCGATTGGTGGTTAAAACCGCATTTAAATTATTATTAGTCTTTGTGGAGTATGTCGATAGTAATTGTCTGATATTGATCAATAGCATCCATCAAATTGACAGCGAAAGAGGTATGAATATAGTTTATATAAAAATTTTTGATAAAAGAATTACCGAAATTATTGTTCATTCAACAGGTGTTAAGCCATGGAACAATATAATGAGCATTTTGAACGAAAAAGATTCGGCCGATATCGAACTATTAATCTTTTCAATGACATTAATCAACAAAACATTGAATGGCCTACCGGATCAAGATACTTATTACGATGTTTGTGATGCATTGGAAGAACAAGGAATCGAACGAATCATTCAGCATTACATGTCAAAACATGGTACAGATCGTGATTTGTTGCAACAGTTCCGTATTTACGAAGCCGTTCTAAGACTTGAAGACGGTGATGATGACGGTAATGGTATACCAGCCGATTCTAGACATATTCCTCGAAATAGAAAAACAAACAACAATAACAATGAAGACCGCCGTAAAAGTAAACGTCATTCAATTGACATGGTTAAACAATCTTTTCCTGTTAAAAATAGCCAAAGCAATGGAACATCACAATTTATTCGATTTAATAACAAGTCAATTTCATCATCAAATTCATCTTTCACCAATAAGAAAACTTTCTATAATTTGCCTCCAAATGTCAATCCATCCATGGTATCAAATGGATTTGATGAAATCAACATCAATCTCAAGAAAAGAGATTTTCGTTCAAAAAGTTTAGCTCGAGAACATGAGATTCACAATCAACGTTCGAGTATTTCTTCCTGCAGTAGTGCCGATTCATATGGATCGTATGCTAGCTACGGCAGTTATGTTAGTAATGAAGATACCAAAACAGCAACTTTGATCGATCCGCTTAAAAATCTAGATTCACCTTCTATAGATAGTAATGAGGATGATACCGATCGTAGTTTGGATTTGAACAGTCGAAGTTCGAATCACACTGAATCATCTGATGAAATGTTGAAGCCTCATGATTTTGATGGTTCACAAGAATCGTTCAATCTATGGGAGACTACCAAAAAATCTGTGTTGAATCATGGATATCATCAGACAAATGGCGATGCATCTTCAGGGTTATCTCGTCAACCAAGCTTAAAGGAAAGAAAAACGTGGATGTTATCACTGATGTATGGCAAAGCCAATGGAGATGATGCACCTAAATCACCAAACTATGTAAAGCCTCCAGCTCCGATTCCAACTGCATCTACTGGACTTTGGAATGGAAATGGAAAATCTGATATAGTTTCACCTTCACCTACTGTCATCAATGATCTCCTGAATTTAAATAAATCAACCGAATCAGTCAAATGTTTGAAAGAAAAATTTATTCAACAGACCACACAGTCAGACAGTAATCTCGCCCCCAAGATAATCCATCCAAAAGAACAAATAACCGATAAAATTACCAACAATTTTGAACAATGGGAGAAAATGGTCCATCAAATGTCTCGTCCTCTAGTCATTAATGATATGGATTTCACCGATCTTGTTGACGATGATGACACCGATATCTGTAATCCCATTGCTAATGTTATTGTTCCTAATTGTGGACCTCCACCGCCTCCTCCAATGTTATCATTAAATGGTTCGAATCCTCCTCCGCCTCCGATTATGATGATGTCACCGCCACCACCACCACTACCAATGTCATCTGGAGGTTGTCTGCCACCACCACCGCCACCTCCAAGATTCAATGGACCCGGTTTAGGTAATTGGTCTTCGATTAATAATGGTCGTAACACAAATACACCATCACCACCTATTCCCCCAGATTCTAAATCTTCACAAAACAAAAACAAAAAAACGATAAAATTATTCTGGAAAGAAGTAAAAGAAGATAAATCACTTTTGAGTAGAATAATAAAGAAAAAGACCATTTGGGATGAAATCAAAAATGTATCTGTTGATACCGAGAAATTGGAAACTCTTTTTGAAAGTCGTACCAAAGAACTAATGAACAAGGTAAGTCTATTTATCGAGATTTCTTTGAAAATGATACCACTTCAAATAATTTTCGATCTATTTTTTATTATAACTCTTGTAAACTTAATCACAAATCGTGAATCTGATGGCTTCTAACGTGTGGCACACTTAATAATATGCTTCTGCTAATAATCATTAATTTACTTATTGTCAATCTATCTATTATTAATAGGGATTTGATGTAAGATTAATTTAGCTTATTTAAACCATTTGAATTAATTAATAATTTGATTGTTTTTTCTTGTATATTCGACAGAAAACTCAAGATGCTAATAAAAAAAATGAAATCCTTGTACTCGACACCAAACGTTCCAATGCGATCAATATTGGAATGACTAAACTACCTCCTCCAAGAGCAATAAAAACTGCCATACTCAAAATGGATCAATCAATCATGAATAGGGAAGGCATTGAGAAAATTCTAACAACTATGATGCCTACAGAAGAGGAAAAGAATAAAATTATGGAAGCTGAGATGAATAATCCGGATATACCATTAGGGCAAGCCGAATCATTTTTGATGACACTATCTTCAATCACTGCTCTCGAAGCTAGACTTCGTTTGTGGGCATTTAGATTGGATTATGAACAAATGGAACGAGAAGTAGCTGAACCATTAATGGATTTGAAACAAGCAATTCATGAACTTGAAAAAAGTGAAACTTTTAAAATTATTCTTGGAACACTTAGATCAATCGGAAGTTTTTTAAATGGATCCGATGTGAAAGGGTTTCAAATCGATTACCTGGCCAAAGTTCCAGAAATCAAAGATACCATTCATAAGCATTCTTTGTTGCATCATTTGGTTCAAATGATCATGGAAAAATTTCCAAATACCTCAAATCTATACTCGGAATTAGGAGCTGTATCACGTGCCTCTAAGGTCGATTTTGATGATTTAGGAAAAAATCTTCACAAAATGGAACAAGATTGCAAACAATCTTGGGAACATTTAAAAGTTATTTCTAAATTTGATGGATCAAGTCCGATGAAGAATAAAATGACAGAATTTTTAACTGATTGTGCTCAACGTATTATTGTACTGGAAATCATTCATCGTCGTATAATGAATCGATTTAAAAAATTTCTCGTCTTTTTGGGAATGCCTTCAAATGCGATCAAAGAGAATAAACCAAATCATTTGTTGAAGATTATAAGCGAATTCGCTTTGGAATATCGAACTACTCGAGAACGAGTTAGAGAACAAATCGAAAAGAAAGCAAATCATCGTGAAAGAAATAAAACCAGAGGCAAAATGATTACTGAGGTATCTATCAGTTCTATTATTATTTACAATTTCAATGTTAATTTTTTTTCAAATGAGCAGTTGGACAAATTCAAAGCTAAAGAACATGCCGAATCTGATTTGGAGCGAATTCTCAAAACTGGGGGTGAGACACAATTTGATAATGGTAACGTAACAAAATGGGGAACTTTACCCGGAACAAAATTACGACGTCCATCTACTGGTTCGATGACTAATCTTGTAATTAATGGTAATGGTTCTGGTCCAAGAGGAATACATTCATACCGACATAGTGTTCATGTTGAATCTTATGGTGAGGCTGACGATGAAATACTCGAAAGCTTGGTACGATCGACAACTCAACAACCTGTTAGAGCTCAAGAGAAAAATCGACGAAAAGCTCGCTATGGAGAACGGAAATCGTGTATGTTTTTTTTTGTTTGTAACAAAAATAAGATGATTTAACAAATATATTTGTTTTTAATCTATCAAATAGTGCGACGAACACTTAGAGGAAATCTTGATCTATCGGAAGAGGAACGAATGATGCTGTCAGCTATTACCACATAATGATTGCTTGTTTGTTATACCAATTCATACATTTGAATCAAATTATTTATTTTCATGGAATACTGTGATCTCAAAATGATAACAGCTAAAAAAATGGTTTTTACGCGTCCACATTGGTCTTTAAATCTAATAAATAGACACCGAATTTATTATTGTAACAACTTATAAAAATTTTCGGACTAAATTATGGACTAAATTCTATTCTAGTCACACAACCAATTCAAATACGAATCGAAACTGATTCAAACACTCTATTTAACCGAAACATCAAAATCATTTGCCTCAAATCATCTCACAGAAACACACAAGAGAATACATTTTGTTGACAAATTTTAATTATATTTATTCCTACAAATAATGTTTAGCTCTACATTTCGCTTTTACTCTAATTTTTATATAAATTGATATATAATACAAAACAATTAATTAATATTTTCATTCAGATTCCTTTCAATTTCGAAATAAAATTTTTTCAATATATTATTTATTTGTACTTTTCATTTTATTCAATATTGAAATTCAAATTCAATACCATGAGAATAAAGGCGTCCATTGTGTCCTATCATTTATTAACGGTACATGAGGCATGTTGTTTATTGTTTGCTCTTTTCGCTATGCGGCTCAATTTTTGATTTTGAATCTTTAATCAAATGTGTTTGGAAAATTATATTATTTATCATCATGTCGGATAATATTTTGATTGATGGTAAACCTTTAAATACTTTAAGGGTAGTCGATTTGAAAGAAGAACTCAGAAAACGTGGCATTCGTAGTTCGGGTACAAAATCTCAGCTTCAACAATTATTGTTAACGGTTTGTCATTAACATATTCGATTTTTTTTTTATTAATCTTGATGTTTTTCTTTTGTAAAATATTAGGCTCTACATTCAACAAATCAACCCGATCAAGGTATGTGAAATCAATTTTTTTTATATAGCATTATATGACTAGATTTTGTTGATAGAATCTGCGATTACCGATGAAGCCGAACCAATAAAAAATGCCATTGAACCACCAGAAAAAATTGACGATTCTATAGTCAATGATAATTCTAATTCTAAAAGTATTGATAGTACCGAGAAATTTGCTTCAATATCCATTAATGAAGAAAAAGAAACCATCAAATTGACTATTCGTTCGAGTCCCAGAAAACAAGAGCCAGTACAGCAACAAGATTCTGAAAGTGAAGCATCACAAAGCGATGTTACTGATTCAGACAGTGAACAGCAAAACAAGAATGACATTGTTAACACTAGCCAAAATGAAATTGCACCGCCTTTAATAGAACCAGAGAACAAAACAGAATCGAAAGCCGATAATACTGAAGAAAAGTCATCCGAGCAAGTAACTCAAGAAATTAAACCTCAAAATAGTCATGATGAACAGGAGGCAAAACTAGAGCAACCGAAAATCGATGAATGTAAAATTGAAAGTCAACCAATAACGAAAATTGAAGAAAGTTCGAAAAATGAAATCGAAATTAAATCAGATGATTCTAAAAGTCGAACTTCAATACTAAAAAATAGAATGGCCACACAAAAATCGATAGAAGGACCTAGTGGTAAGCCTGTTCAGAAGAAACGACGCTGGGGAAGTTCGCAAACAAACGAATCATCAGTATTGAAAAAAGGAATCTCGAGCGATGAGCTTAAACAACTGATAAATGATTCAATGATGGACAATGATCAGCCTGTCATCAAGGTGAGTAAATCAAGCGAAGACAAAACATTCTTTAGCAATAAAACTGATGAACCACCACAACAACAAAAATCGGTTGAAGTGACTGAAATGGAAATAAAAAAGGTAGACATTTCATTTAAAAACAACGTTGTAGAAATGTCTCAAGTAGCAACACCGCAAAAAGAAAATGGTAATATTGAAGAGAATGATCAACGATCAGTTTGTCCTGCCAAGAATCCCGAGTCGACAGTCTTGTTTATAACAGGCTTGGTTCGACCATATACTTTGATGCAGTTGAAAAAATTGTTGAATAGTGTTGGTCAAATTGATGAGGAAAAGTTTTGGATAGATAAAATCAAATCCAAATGTTATGCAACTTATTCGAGTGTCGATGAAGCTGTCAAGACTCGTGAAAACTTACATAATCTTAAATGGCCACAATCAAGCCCGAAAAATCTTTGTGTCGAATTCGCTACACTTGAAGACATTGATCGATGTCTTCATCCAGAAAATTACGAAGATCTTCCTATGAAAAACGTCGATAAAAATTCTTCATCAATCGCTCAAAATAAAGGAAAATATGACATCATCATGAAGGAACCTAAAGTTGAAACATTTGGTAAAACCAACGACAAATCTGAAAGTATTGCTGCTCGTGGGAACATTCGCGAATGGGATCGAGATAAAGTTGCTGTTAAAGTCAGTCGACACGAAGAAAAAGAAAAAAATGATGATGACAATCAGCGACAATTAAAAAAACATAAAGATGAATCTCCATCTGAACATCATCATCACCACCATTATCGTGATAAGCCTGCGAAAACAACAGGTAAGTGATTTGCAAAAAATTGTTGAAAGATTTAAAAATGATTAATGTGCATCATAGAAAAATTAGAGAAAAAAGAAGAACTATCAAATCAACGTAATCAGGAACCAAGAAGCGAATCACCTATGAATTCGCTTGAAGATTTATTCAGGAAAACAAAAACGATTCCATATATCTATTGGTTGCCATTAACTGATGAACAAGCATTGGAAAGAGAAAAACATCGTAATCAATTGGAAAAAGAACGTGAAGCTAGAATATCACAGCGTATGGAAATGCCTACACGAAGATCTTCACCACCCCCTCCTCCACCTATGTTTCGTGATATGGTGAGTATTTTTTATCGACAAGACAGTCATATATCATATCGGTATTTTTTTATTTGTTCTTAGCATCGTGGTCGAAGAACTTCCCCTACAAATTTTCGTCGCAAGCCTTCTTATAGTCCTGTATACCGACGAAATCTATCACGATATTCACGATCTCGTTCTCCTGATCGTCGTCGATTTTCACCCCGTAGAAGATAAGTTGATTCATCAATTTTGATTTCATCGGTCCCTATTATTTTTTTGGGTCATTCAAAGGCCATTGAAAGATGGAGAAAAAAATATTTATATATTTTGAAGCCTAATCATTAATCGACCATCCTTATTCATATTTTCGTTCGGTGTTTCTTGATCATTTTTATTTCGATAAATATCCAGCTTTTTGATTTAAACTGATAGGGTTTGATTAATAATAAATCAGGGAAAGGGAAAATTCTAGGTAGCGAAAGAATTAGTAGGCTACTTTTTTTCTGACCTAAAAAAATTCAGGCTATCTCAAAGGGGATTATACTTTAGCATTAGGTTTTCAAGTTTTCTTTTGCAGATCTGTCTTCTCTCTTTCTCCCTCTTTCTCAAAATTTATCAGATAATCAACAATATTGGAAGCGGTTTGGAAAATCACATCAATGCTGGAAACATTTTGATACATCCCATTATCATCATCATCATCGTTAGCATCGATTTCATTATCAAACAGAAACAGCTAATCACTTGAACTTGAATTTTATTTGAACAAAAATATTGGCAACAAATGTATTTTTGTACTTATTAAATGCAACAAAAGTACAATTTTTGACCGAGCGAAAAAAAATAGCAAAAACAACTTGGATCATCATTATCATTTTCAACATTACAATATTTTTCTTTATTGGATTAATTATAAAAAAAATAAAAATTTCATTATTATCATTTAGTATTTATTTTATTATTGATTTGAATATTTTTCAACAAATTTTTTTCTGTTTTATACAACAAATGTCGTAATAATCTTGAAAAACAATGGTAATTAGAATATTTCTAATGACAATTTTTTTTCCTGAATTTCGCCAATGATGATAATTTCATTAATAATTGTGAATTAGTAGAGATAAAAATAAAGTTGGCTTTGCTTTTAGTATTCATTGTGCTTGTTTTTCTTCTATATAGGTATGATGATTTGAACAACTGTTTATTTGTTTGAACCAAAATAGCCCATTCGATATAAAACTATAGGAACCAATGCAATAACAATAGAAATCGTCCAGGTCATCCAATCGCTTGAATTGCCATTGTTTTTCGGATCGGACCATGAAATTGTCTTTTCCTAAAAAAAATTCAATCATTGATTGATTGATTGAATATGTATAGATGGACATATGGATATATATGTAATTATTTTATATTATATTATTAACATCTTTGGGTACAACAACAACAACAAAATGATTTTGAAACATATTCATTCCTATATTGCTATTAAAATTTCTCACATTCTCTTTTATATACTCTCGAATTGACGATAAGATATGATTTTTGGATATTTAAAAAAAATATTTTAATTTTTTTTCTTGTTTTTTTTAAAAAAAAACTATATAATCTTGAATTGTTTAATATTTTTTAAAAAAATAGATAGTCACATCTCACGAATCGATAGTAGTAGATAGAATGAATTACAGTCATCCTAAATGACAATACAGTTCTTTTTGCCTGGTCCACCGTTATTAGGTTTCTAATTTTTTTTTCAAATATAATCCAGTTATATCATTTCATAATGTTGAAAAATGAAAGATGTTGTGAAGTGTGAAGTAAGCAAAAAAAAAAAACGGGCAAGGTAAGATGATAACAAAAAACAAAGTTAGTCATTTGCAAAATGTTTTTCACTTTTGTTTGTGAAATGAAATATTTTTAAAAGACCAATTAGAAACACATGCATGATCATAATCAATGAATATTTGAATCAAAAAAAAAAAACCCTATGACAAAAATATTTCACACATCCCCCCACCCAATATAACTATTGTTCTCACGGAAATTATAATTGTTAATCAAATAATATAATATTAATCGATAATGTTAGAGTTCCATAAGGAAAAAAAATGACATGCAAAACATATATGTTGCTCACCTCAACTTTTTTTGTTTTCTTTTTATCCGCCTATAAAAAAAAATGAGAACAAGGAAAAATAAATTTATTGTCCTCAATGATATGATAAAATTTTTCACACATACCTCACATAATTCACCAATTTTATATTTTTTCATAATATCTCTAGCATCGGTAGAATGGCCCACATCTTCGAATGATTCGGTTGCATCTTTACCGGCTTGTTCGATTAGAACTTCTTCGCCACCTGGATGCTGAATTTTTTTTTAAATTTATATTGAAAACCAATATTCGAAAAAAAAATAACAAACCTCATCAAGGAATGGAGTCACATCATAAACGCAATCATGGATAATGATCCAAACGGATTTCTTTTCATTATGTTCGGCAACTTCAGTCAATGTAAAAGTTTTGATTTCTTCAGCCATTTTATTCAGTTGTCTTAATGAAAGTTAAAAGAATCATAAAAATTTTGCTAGACAAAAAAATCATATTTCAAACATACCTTTTATGATTATTAATATGAACCAAAAATGAACCAGAAAAAAATAATGTTTATATATGAATCGATTCGATATATTTCAATTGGGTACTTCAAAATCACTCAATCAATCAAATAGGAAAGTGATTACTATTTGTAAGTAATATATCTTATTAATGTAAGCTTTTCAATTTAATCGAAAAAAATAATGATGATGATTTCTTTGATCACAAGTATTAAAGCAGATTTAACAATATATGAATCTAAATGTAAATTATCTTACTATTACTACTACCGAATATATCGTCAACAAATATCAGACGCAAGTTCGACGCAGTCGTCATATGTACGTGTCATGTTGCCATTTGGTTTCCAGTTTGAACATTGAAAAATGATGATGATTTTTTTTCTCTCTATGATTACTATTTTTCTTTTTATTATTTAATATACATCAGCGCCAGTACATGTACATGCATGCATGTTTGTGAAATTAAATATAATCAAAAAAAAAAAACTGGTTACACTGCACCGAGAGAACAAAATTTTTGTGAAGCGTAAGTAGCTCAAATTTTGATGGGAAAGCATTTGGTATTAGTTTGAAAATAAAATTCTTACTTTCGCTGCACATTTCTCACCCTCAAATGAGGAGGCTATTTTTCCCTGTGTGAGGCGAGATGTTAGACGATGGGAGGAGAAATTGTTGAAATACTGTTGCATAAGAAATTATGCCCGATTTATACATCGAAAGTGAAAACCAAAAAGTGAATATAATAACACAATATTTAATTGGAAAATTGTCAAATCCTTTCTGAGTTGATGATCAAAATCACGTTTAAATAATTAAAGTCATTTTTATCGAAATTATTGATAACTCAATTTTTAATTGTTTCAATTTGCAAACATTAACATGAAATGAATAGTTTCTGAAAAATATGAATTGTGGGAGTATTTTTTTGTGGGTTTTTGTTTGAATTTATATACAAAAATAAAAATTCTGTGATGAAATACCAATGGTGTATCACATGTCTTATATCAGCAATTGGATTTGTAATTATCATGGTGACTGTCGATCAATTTCAGGAGCTGTAGGCTGTGCTACCTGTTGTTGTTGTTGTTGCTGTCGGTAACGTGGATGAGTCAATTCTGGTTTTTCCCGTATAATATCCAACAATTCTTTCACTTCTTTTTCCACCTTTAAGTTGAAAACAATGTCACAGAATTCGAAATAAATGCCAAATGACTCGGTGTCGGAATATCGCATATCATATAAAACAACTTGATCAACTTTTGATGGTTTACAACAGAAATATAGCGATAGGAATAAGGTTGCCACAACGGTAGTTACAATAACAGCCATTAACCAATAAATATCTGTATTGGCTTTGGTTGAATGAAGACCAAACCATAATGAAACAAGAATGGTGTTCTCAATGAATACTATGAATAAAAATCGCATTGGGCGTTGTTTTTCTTTCAAATAAAACATGTAAGGCCACATGACCAATGATGGAAGACCAAAGAAAAAGAAAATCAATACAGCGGTACTAAAACCTCTTTTCTTCGATCGATCAGCTTGTGTATCCATTTCCTCCAATGCTTCCATTGCGATCTTATAAACCCAAATGGTGAAACCAATAACATGAACTAAACACAAGACAACGATCCATTGTTTGATGATAATAGCGGCCAAAGCAAACACTAAAATACGACTTGCGAACATTGAAGTCCATCCTACTAAAGATAAAAACCTAGATATAATTCAAAACAGTTCTCATTAGAATTAATCATAAATCCATAAATCATGAATACCAGTCAGAATTCCATCATCTCTTCGGCGAATGGCAATGAGCATGGAAAAAATGGACAAAGCAGAACCGATTACTTCTCCAATGACTGAAAAGTGAAATGAAAATATAAAAATAATGTAAAAATTAAAAAAAATCTTACTAAATGAATATTTGTTGTTTGTTTCGACTGACAGAATGTAAATCTGCATGACTACTTGAATGAATCCGGCATAGAAATCTTCGAAAAATTCTAACGTTTCTGCATTACGATTTACGAAAAAAAAATTTTCCTTTTCATCATCTTTTGCTTGCCGGAAAGAGCAAAGATTTTGAGATGAAAAATATAGCCCATCCAGATATCTATTATGAAGAGAAAAAAAAGAATGCTTGTGGTTAATTTAGGAAATAATTTTCTTAAATACCTTTTCATTTGCCATGGAATCAATAATAATCCATTTACAAATTTAGTAATGATGGCTTTTGCATTGAAATTTTCATTCTTGATAAATTCGGCAAAACTTTGATAAATGGCGAATATCATTGATGGAAGTATCAAGCAAAGTAATGAAATTATTTCAAAATATAGCGCATGTTCAGAATGATATGTATTAACAGCTCCAAAATCTTGGTAAATCTTATTCAAATAGATTATCAATCGACAAAGAGATTGTAAGAATATTCGCTGAAACAATGTTCTCGACCAGAACCCCATGTTTTTTCGACGCGTTGAAGTTCTATTTGGTTGTAACGGCCTCTATTGAACAAACGGAAAAAGGAAAATAAAAAAAATCAAAATCACGACAATTATATTCAAACACAACCTCACTATCAGGAACATCTTGAATTTCCATGATAAACGATTGTATCACTATTTTGAATAAAATTTTGTAGAGATAGAAAAATTTTCTATGAAAATCAATACAAAGGATATCAGTTTTGTTTTTCAAAATCCCGCAAGAATATACACGCAGCTGCCAGTAATTCAATATGTATTTCCATATACGGATTTTTTTTTTTTTGTTAGTTTTAACGTGTAAAACCACAGCTCTTTCAACATAGGCATCAGTTGCACAAGTTTGGATAATTGTTGCTCAATAAAGAGAGTGAGAAATACACAAATGTAGACATCAATGATGACGCCCAAAATATCTATTGCGATAACAATATACAGGATCCTGTTTTGAATGCTATCAACGCTACATTAAGTTAAACTAAAAATTTTATCATTGAAATGAATTGTTTTTGATTGAAACGACTTTGAATAATAACGTTATTATTTATTATTATTTTTTCGATTTGTAGATGACATTTTGTATTTTTTTTTGTTATACAATTCTATATCCAATTACGATTTTATCATTGGATCAATCAATATAATAAAATCGAAAATTCTCCGGTAGTACAAACCCTATTTAGTTTTTTGAAAAATTTATACCATGTAAGTTGTCTGATAAATTCTTTGATATTTTTGTAATGTATATATTGCAGAATCGCTCAATTCTATTACATTTCATCGTGTTATTGATTAAAGTTTCGACACTGAATTACATTCGAAAAAAATAACGCGCCGGTGCCAATTCTGTGAATTATATATAATTGAATCAGCTCTAGTTCGATAACAAAATGAGAAGCTCAAAGGTTGACGCGAGTGTTCCAGCCGATCGATTTTTCAAAGGAGTCTGTGTTGATGCGATTGTGGCCGTCGGAAATAAAAAGGCATCATCACTACTGGGTCACTTTCATCAGGTGTATATGAAGCATTTGTTTCCAACTTGATAAATCCATTGTGATAATTCAATCACATCAATAATTGTAGCTTATCAATTCAGTAAGCAAAAATTATGGATAGGATTAAATGAATTTTAACCTAGCTTTAATTATGTCTATTTTAGTTTAAAAATGAGCAGCCAATTTCCTCGTGGACAGTATGAGGATCCATCGACGATTATGGATTCATCATTATCTGGTCAATGGACTTCAGCACAAGAGCAGCAAGCCTCAACAAGTAATCCCGAACAAACTCAAACGATCCTAATTGATAATTCGGGTGGTGGTGCAACTGTAACTGTAGCTGCAAGTCGAAGACAGGGCGAAAGACTGCCACCATTTTCATTCATCACTAACCCGACAATAAATCAAATCTTGATTCAAATTAATCCTGATTTATTCATATCTAAACTGTTTTACTTTTTCTTCTATTCTGCATTTGGATCATTATTCCCATTGATGGCAGTTTATTTCAAACAACTTGGCATGAATCCAATACAAGCAGGTAAGATATTTTTAGGCTTTTATTTCTGTCAACACTAATCAAATTCTAATTGTCAATTTTCAATACAGGAACATTAGTCGGTATAAGGCCATTCGTGGAATTCATTGCAGCACCATTTTGGTCTTCCATAGCCGATCGTTTTCATAAATCCAAAGTTATACTGCTATTCTCATTAGGCTGTTGGATCGTGTTCACTTTTGCGATGGCTTTTATTCGTCCACCTGCATCGGCTTGTGTAATATTCAATGAAACACATCATATATTATATACACCGTACAGTGAAACACCGGAAGAGGAGGTATATGACGATGCCTCATCATTATGGCCTACAACAGAAGAAAACATTCCAAATAGTTCGGTTATATCGAATTCTATTAATGAATTCGATACATTGGTTAGTTATCAAAATTTCCGCATGAAAAGAGGTTTGTACTTATTCATTCGACGATATATGGTTGAATAATTCTTATATTATCACACGATATAGATGTTTCTGAAAATATTAAACATAAATTACCACCAAACCATGTCGTGGGAAAATCTCCATTGACCGTTGAATATACACTGAATTATAATCAAGAGAAGCATGTAACATATTTATCACCTCCATTCTCCACAGTAGTTTACAAGCTTGAAGATGTGAAAGAAGTGTTTTTTCTTCTCTTGTTATTGATAGTCTTGTTAGAATTTTTAAGTGCTCCAGCCATTACATTGGCCGATAGTGCTACATTGGACTATTTGGGTGAAGATACTGACAAATATGGTCAGCAGCGAATGTATGGATCATTTGGCTGGGGCATCACCATGTTGTTGGTAGGCATGGCTTTAGATAATTCGACAAAATTTAAAGATCATCCGTGTGGACCACATAGTGGCGAGCGAAATTATGTCACTTGCTTTTCGATTTTTGCTTTTCTAATGTCATGCACTTTATTGATAGCTACCAAATTCAAATTTGAAGAATCACCCGAATATTCAAATGAAATTCAATTGAATTCATATGAAAATGAGCCTGGTCCGAAACCATGGCAAAATACTGCTCCGGCTATCAACATACCAAAAGAGTTTCAAGACAAAAAACGAAAAGAAGAATTCATTGATCGCTGGAAGAGCGCTGTATTCGCACAACGAACCAGAACATTGCCCAGTTGGGTTGCTGTATTGCGATCGATGAACAATTCGCGTAAATTGGCTTTTTTATTGGTCACTTGGTTGATGGGATTTGGTGTTGGATTAGTTTTTACGTTTTTGTTCTGGCACCTACAAGATCTTGGTGGAACCCCGACGCTTTATGGTTATGCTTCGGTGATCAACCACATATCGGAAATTGGGGCTTATTTCTTCAGTATTAATTTAATACAACGTTTTGGCCATACTAAAGTGTTGTGCTTTGGTTTACTTTGTAATACTTTTCGTTTCATTTATATTTCTTGGCTCGATAATCCTTGGTGGGTTTTGCCTCTTGAACTTATCCAAGGTTAGTTGACCTAGTCATCATAACTGATAAACTAATCATTTTCCAACATTGATAACAGGAGTTACTCATGCAACAGTTTGGGCAGCTGCTTGCAGTTACATGACACAAAATACTGAACTTGAACTTCGTTCTTCTGCTCAAGGTGTAATGCAAGGCATTTATCAAGGACTAGGAAGAGGAAGTGGTTCACTTCTCGGTGGTGTTATTATACATCGTTTCGGTAACAAGAAATTTTTTTCTCTTTCTCGTTCAATAGATTTAATCAATTTAACATTTTGAATTTCAGGTTCTAGAATTACTTTTTTCCTCTATGGTCTAATTTGTGCCGCATTTTTAGGATTGTTTGTTCATGTGAACTATTACCGCAAAAATCAAGGTTACAAATTTGAGGAAGAAATTACTGAAGATCCAATGATCATGATCAATGATTCAAGTGCTTTAGCACCACACGGTGTACCCACTAATCCGATTGCTCGTTCGGTTTCACGACAAAATGTTGACCATCCCGAAAATCATCTCCAACAATCACAACCGGCGAACAATCGAATGGCAACCAATTTAAATCCAAGCGATAACGATAATGTTGCCTCCAACTCATATGAAACTTGGGACCCAAATGCAGCTTGGAATTGATAGTTTGATCTATGATTCAATCTGAACGACCAAAATGGACCAATCGATTAGTATTCTTTTTCCTATTATGAAACACAAAAGTCAAAATGTTTATTAAGGTTGTGAATTAAGTGACTTTGAGATAATTTTATTTTCATCCCCATTCATTGATAATATATCGTTGTCCATCTAAACCATAGCTTTCATTACCAATGATATTAATCTTTGAACTCTCCCGTGATTGGTAATTTACTCTTGTTGTTTCAAACAAAACTAATTTAATCCATTACTTTGAGAAATAGTTATGATTAGATGATTGTTTTCAGGGTTTCTTTTTATTTTCCGTTTCTGACCAAAGATTTTAACGTCAAAAAAATTTTGAACAAATTTTGCAACCAAAACATATCTTTCTCTTTCAAATTACTCTCTCTTTCTCTGAATGAATTGAAACAAAACTACATGATACTATTGCAAAAATTTGGTTGTGTTTGCCACATCTTCACATAACAGCCTCATATCATTCATCATTCTAATTACTTTTAATATTATCATCAATATATAGAGGATAATTGTAAATTTGTTTCGTCACCAAGAAAAAGCGCAAAAAAACAAATTTTATGCATGATTGAATTTCAATTTTAACTCGTTTGTTGCATTGATATATAAGAATCATATTATAATCACTTGAATTGGAGAAATTAATGTTTTTATGATATTTTGGTTGCTTACAACATTCATTCATTCATTCACTCATTCATGTGGATTCATTGTTCAACAACAAACAAACGAAAAATATATGGATGAGGGGACGATAAAAGTAAAAAACAAAGAAAAAAAATATTTTCAAAATACAATACACGTGTTATGTAATGTTTCACCTAGTTTTATCTACGCCCAAATGTGTGTATAGAATACAATAGAGTTTTCATTCTACAAAAAAGGTTTGCCATGACTAATTTTTTTTTTCGTTTTTCTTCTTACTGAATCGATTGATCCAAAATTGATTTAAATTGAAATGACTGAACATCGAATACACTCACTCAAACATAATATACACACGGAAATGAACATTATTATTGTCCATATGCTTTCATTTAACATATAATTCATTCATTACATATTATGTAATAACTCTTTCGAAATCAAACAACACTATTTGCATTGTATTGTTTCTTGTATTGCTTTATTCATGTTTTTGTGTTTTCTTCTCTCTATCTTTTTTTTTTTTTTTGTTCTTGGCCTAAACAATATATGAACCATAATTATCAAATAATAAATATCAATAAAGAAAAAAAAAGTGTCATGTCATCCGTCTTTTTATCCTACATCCTATTATATTCTAAGTCATCGTTTTTGATGATGTGATAGTTTAAAACTCAACACAACACATCATATTTCTAACATGTTGGCAAACATGGATCGATTGTTTAATAAATAATAAATTTCCCGGTGTTTCTGTATTCTATTAAACTCTTGAAACGATGATGATGATGATGATGACTATGATAAAATTATTATATTATTATTATATATAAATCATTAATTAATTAACAACAAAGAAATGAAAGTTTGGAAATCATAACTCAATTGAATGATTTTCGAAACAACAATTGTCACATAGAATTTTGGTTATTATCTTTGTTTTCTATATTTTGTTGATAATAATTTTTTCGGGCCATACTCTTTTGATGTGTAGAGAGAAATTATTATCAAATCTCGTGAAATGATCACGATTGAGATTTGACACCTTGACACCGACTTAAATAAATTAATTTGGAACAATTTATGAAAAAAAAACAAAAACAAAAACAAAAAATTGAAATGAGCTTTCATTGAATTGGCATTGGTACTTATATGATTGTAAAATATTTTAGGCGAGAAAAAAAATCATAGAGTTCATGTTATCTCTCAACGTAAACGAAAGTGCATATGGTGAAGGAAAGAAAAGAAAAACCATCAAAGACAATTCGGTTGCAACCGATTACAAGTACAAAGAACAAAAAAAAAAAAAAAAAGATCATGTCAGCAAGTTTCTCTTTTATTTTTTTTTCATCTCTGTCATTATTCGGGAATAAACAAACGGACCCAAATCGTTACTCTATTTTTCTCTTGTATTTTATTTTGTTTCAAAATCTATTATTGACCCGAAATGTCACCAATGATACTTTGTCACAAAAAATTGATGTCAAAGTATATCACTGTCTGTGTCTAGCTGTTGGTCGAAAATACGAACAAATAAACAGTTACAACCAAATAACAACAAACTCGACTAAACACAAAAATATTTAATGAAATCAAACAAATATTACTTGTTTATCCAAATGGGAACATAGTCGAATTGATCGTTGATGGGATTGGTGGCGATGATTTTTTTCCTTCATCTATTTGGCTCTCATATTTTTTGTTTTATATGTGTGATATATTGTTTCTGAAACGAATCTGATGACATGATATTCGATAATAATCTTGTTTGGCCATTTTTGTCATTTTCATCATCATCACCGTCATCATCATCATCATCATCATCATCATCATCATCATAATCATTCCATCATTGCTTCATCATTTATTCAATCAAATATTCGACAGTATTTGATACTGATTTGTTGGAAACAATTCCAAAATTTTCATCGTGCCTTGAATTGTTTGTTTGAATTCTGCTTTGTTTTTTTTCTAATTTAACCGTTACACTATGCGAATGCTAGTCTTTCACACAATCGCCATTCTGTTAGTGATTGTTCCAACTAATTCCTATCGAAAAGGTAAAAAAAATTTTAAAAATTCATGTATTATGATAATGAACGTTCAACAATCTGCAACTAATTTTCAAAAGAAAGATACACAAATAAAATTGAATGTTTTGTTAACCTGGATAACAGGCACCTATTAATTAGGGTTTTCATTTTGTTCGTTGCTGTAGTAATTATATCTTTTGAATAATTTTCAAAATTAACTATTCAATGCAAGTATACATATTTTTTTCAGGTAGTTCCAAAAATTTACCTATCTATCCTATGATCTAATTCAATAAATGAGGTACACTTGATCTGTATTGTCTATTAGCCATATAGTGATAGCAATGATGAATGTTCATACATTTCATGTGCGTTACTTAATAAGCTTTTAAAATCTGTAACAAAAATAATCTTATTCAAAGTTTCATCCATCAATGACAATAGTGAGACGTTTTCATCAACAAAACAACATTGTTAACAGTGCTGCTGCTGTTGACACTACTTTTTTATTGCCCGATGATTTTTATCGTGCAAAGAACATGTCATTTAGTGAAATGGAACCAAAAGCTTCAGTTATAATGCCGTTAAATGATCCAGAGATGCATTATACTTATTATGAAGGTGATATGATGATACAAGAAAGTGATGAGAAAAAGGTAAGCGAAAAAATTTCAAAAATATAGTTATTTTACCTATTTGAAAAATGAAAATAATAATAGTAATCAATCAATTACCAATCATAATAGATTTCATTGTATACGGCGAAAAGATGGCCTTATGGTCGTATTCCTTATGTTATGGAAAATAAATTTACCGATGATGAACGAGCTGCTATTGCTCGAGGTATGATGATACTACAAGAAAGGACATGTATACGTTTTGTACCGAAAAAACCAAACGATCATGATTACGTGCTCATCAAACGTGGTCCAGGATGTGCGGCACATGTCGGTAAAATTGGTGGACAACAATGGGTAATACTTGGACAAGGTTGCTATGGCATCGAAACGGTTACGCATGAACTAATGCATTCTGTGGGTTTCATTCATGAACAATCACGCCCAGACAGAGATGAACATGTTGAAATTGTTTGGAACAATATTAAACCAAGTGAGTATATTTTTTTCTGACAATATTAATTGTTTTGATTTGAACAAATTTTTTTTTCTAGCCGCTAAACGAAATTTTCGTAAACATGAATCCGATTATTTGGCTGATAATGGATTTCCTTACGATCTAATGTCTGTCATGCATTATCGTCAATATGCATTCTCAAAGAATCGTAAACCAACCATCCTTCCAAAACGTCCTGTGCCCTATTTACGATGTCGAGGGCTTGATTGTCCATCCGAATTAGATATATCTAAAATTAATTTCCTTTACAAATGTCATAAGAAAGATGATTTTGAAGATAATTACATCGATGATGCCATTGATGATAATGAAATTGATATTGATGAAAATACATTTGAATCAAATAACCATAATCATCGACAAATTAATCCACATTTTAATCAATTTGGTCATCATCATAGAAATCATTTTAGGAATTATAATAATCAATTACCTCAAGAAATGCAACCGATCGCTGATACGTCACCACCATATGCACAACGAAACAGACTTCGCCATCTATTACTTGATTCACCTCGATCATCGATTGCCCATTTTAATTCTCCAAATATACCTTATGTTTCAATGTTTCATTCATTCATTCCAACCACTCTGATTTAATATGGCAAGAATCTATATTTTTATATTAATTGATTGAGAGTAGTTCGTTTGTAAATATATGCATGCAACTACACACTTATAATTAGGTTCATATATATCTTTTGTGTTACAAAATTTTGTATTTATTATGGTTTCAACAATCAAATAGGATAAAAATTCAAAGGATATTTTTATTTTCAAACAAGATTATTATTATTTTCCGTCAAGAATCGGTCATATGGAATGAAAAATTCATTCAATAATGATTTCACTGTTATTTGATCACAAATTTACTATTGCATAACTCTCTGTGCGTGATTAGAGTAGCTGATCAAATTAGCTCAACTGTTTTGGTAAATCAACTTGTTAGATTCAAAATGAATATAGCATTTTTCATGTATAAAAAGAAAAAAGAGAGTGAACTGGAAAAAAAGTTTTTTTTTCTCAGAATAAACCACCACAGAATCTAAATTGCAATACAAATTTCTATTGAATATTTGTTTGGGTTTACCACTTTATTTTCAGTGGAAATTTTTTGTTTCGTTTGTTTTTCACCATTCTCATGTATATTGCAACGAATCATTCAGTGAGAAAATATTGTGACAAACATTGAACAAAACATGAAAAATTGTTACATGATATTTTATTAGATTCAGATATAAAACAAATGATAATAGACAGGATGTGTTTTAGAATTGGTTCAATTTTCAGCTTTTTTCCCAACAAACAAAAAAGATAAAATAAATAAAAAAAAGATGATTCTACCAGATAATGTTCAGATCCATGTACATAGACATCAAACATTCAGGTATATATAGATAAATAAATGGTAATGGATGTTCCCTCCTTACCCGTGATGAACCATAAAAAACCGAATAGAATTAAAGAAAAAAACTCTACTTTCTATTTTTCTCTTTTTTGTTTTGTTCAACCATGTGTAATATGTTGAAAAACGAGATGTTTGGGAGGAGGACAAGGTATAGAACTTTGAATTTTGAAACAAAACAAAACAAAAAATCCATTCAAACGCACAATCCAATTCAAGTTTTTCTTTTTCATTATTCTTCTTGGTTTTTTTTCCAGAAATTTCATTCATTCATATTTTTAACTTTCATCTATTGAATCAAAACAAAAAGATAATAAATAGAAACTTTTTGAAAATTTTATTCATATTGTATGTGTGTGTGTGTGTGTGTGTGAATATATGTAATTTCATCAAAAATAGCTTGTTTGTTTGTTAATATTATGGAATTGGATGCATTAGTTTATGCATATGTTGTTTGTTTGATAATAATTTTAATCAAAATTTCATTAAAATTTTTGGCTTTGTTTTTTTTTTGGTGGTTATATTCACTGCATAGATGTTTGAATATGTGAATACATTGTTTACATGGATACGAAACAACAAGGAAACAATGAGAGAAATGAATTGCCATGAAATTTTACATTATTACTATGGTTGGAACTTTTTTTTAATATGAACAGATTCATTTTCCATATATTCCTGATGAAAAATTGATCTAGAGAAAAAAAGTTTATAAAATTTTTTCTAGTTTATTTCGTAAAAATCTTATTGTTTAACGAAAAAGAAAAACGTATTTCTCAATTCATCATTGTAACTATATAATAATCTAGTTTCATTATTATCAATGATTAGATATGTTAATGTTTGATGTTCAAACAGTAAAATTAGATCATCCTAATATGATAAATTATCACATGACATTTACCAAACACATCTATGATCATATAATTTTATATTGTCAATGTTTAATAAGGATATTGGTCGAATTCCATATTATTTCTTATTAATATCACTATTATCAATACACCAACGCATATTTGTCAATTGAAATTGATATATTCGGATATATGGCCAAATAGTTAACAATCGTATTATCGAAAATTTGAATGTCATATTTAGGATACATGTTAGAAAGGAAGATAGAAATACACACACACACACAGACAAGAACATGGTTAATATACTCTTTATATTCATTATGCTTTTACATCAAGTTAGTCGATCCTTATCATTTGAACAATAGAGAAAAAAAAACCTCTACTCTATAAGGATTTCAAAAAGCAAATAAACAGAATATATACTAACAAAACAGAAAGAGAGTCGAAACGATATTTTTTTTATAGGGAACAGAAAACAGAAAAAAACAAGCAATTTTGGATCACAAAAATACTGTAATGCTCTGATGATAGATTTTTTAGAAAGAAAAATGTTAAGATGCTTTTGTATTGTTGTTTTCTTTTTATTGCATGCATCATTTTGATTTTTTGTTCTTACATCGTTGTTTTTGGTTGATATACTATTGCTTGCTAATAGTGTCGTCGTCATCATCATCATCATCATCATCATCATTGTAATTTTTTATTATACTTCAATATTATATCGTTGAAGGAACCCTTATTTTTTTTATTCTATTATTACACAATAAATGGTGTACAATGTGTATGTGAAGAATAGTGCACGAAATGAATTTTAAGTCGTCATTCTTACCATTCTCGACAAGTTTATATATAAACAGCTTGTATGTCTTATGTATATTCATGCACATAAAATGATTTTTATTCTATTATAATGATGATCTCCGATCTATTCCGATTGTTTCCATATATAAATATCTTTTCTATTCTATTCTATAATATAGATAAATTATTTACAACACTCCAAATGATGAACATGGAACAACAACAACAACAACAACAACAACAACATGGCGAACAGAACGAACAAACAAAACCACCATTACTTGGTGATCAAGATATAATCACTTTGTGTGCAACATACTACGACATCCATGTTGAACGTGTTAAAGAATTGAATAGTTATGATGATCGTAATTATATTGTCCACACTAGTAATGGCGATAAATTTGTGCTAAAAATGACTAATTCTTATGATAGCGAACAGCCCGGTCTATTGAATGGTCAAAATAATATGATTCTTTTTCTTTCAAGCCAAAATTTCAATGTTCCATGTCCAATCAAGAATATCCATGGAGATTATTTGGCGCGTATTCAATTACCCATGAATAATCCTGTCAATCCGGCGAAAACTTTTGCAATCCGTCTATTCACTTATGTGGATGGAATTATTCTATATAACGTACCGATTGAACGACAATTACTTATTGGTTGTGGCCAATTTCTGGCCCGTATCGATTTGGCATTAGAAAAATTTGATGATAAAGTTATACGTACGAGAAAATTTTTCTGGAGTCTAGCAAATGTTCCAAAACTGTATGATTATCTTAACTATATAAAAATTCCTTCTCGAAATGAATTAGTTTTAAAATGTGTAAAAGATTTTGAACAAATAATTGTATCGTCATTGGATTCGATGAAACAATCATATTTGCATGGAGATTTCAATGAACAGAACATTATTGTTCGCAAAATCGATAATGCATACCAAATATATGGACTTATTGACTTTGGCGACATATTCTATGGGCCTCGTATATATGATATAGCAATTTTCATTGCTTATGTTATGTTATTAGACACTGATTTCGATTGCATTCTAGAAGCTCCAAAGTTTGTACTACAAGGCTATTGTAGTCTAATATCGTTGGACAATCAAGATATTAACAATATATTAATCTGTGCCCGAGCGCGAATTGCTCAATCACTCACTTTGGGGGCCTATACACATTCATTTCAGCCAGACAATGAATATTTATTGACAACAGCCAAAAAAGGTTGGTCCATATTGGAACGATTATGTAGTTTTGATGATGATCAAAAACAATTGATCAAACATTGGATGGACGCGGCAAACATATCCAAAACAACAGCTAAAAACTAGCTAAGAAATGAAAACATAGCTAATCATCATCATTATTAATGTAGTTGAACACACATACACATTTAAACAAATATAATTCTATGCTGAAAATGTCCAATAATCTTACTGTTTTTTTTCATATTTATTCTTCATACGTGTTGGTCATTTTGATGGAACATCGGCCACAATTTTTTTTTTTGCTTATTTGTTTGGTAGGATAAGGCATCATCCATGTTATTCCATCTCATGATAATTGTATTGTCTGTTAATGGTAACCAATTTTATGGAGCAGATTTTTTATATCCATAATTGTATAACAAAACCCCCCCCAATAACAGCAATAGTGTATGATTGAAGAAAATTTGTGACCATTTGATCCAATCCGATAATCATCATTCTTCTGGATAAATGATCAAATCAGTCGAATGCTAAAAAAACTACAAAAGCATACACAAGCAAATTCTGTGAATTTTTTTTCATGATGAAAAAATTATATCAAAAATGGCATTTAATTATAAATTTTTTTTTCAAAATCAGCAAAAAATTAAATTTTTTTCCCTCTATATTTGATAATAATAAAATGAAATAAAATCGAACCACCATTTTTAGGTTGGCTGAAAATTCGTGAAAAAATTATTTACTTTTCTAATTGATTTTTTTTTTAAATCATCTTATCTGTTGTTGTTGTTGTTTCATTTCTTGTTGCCGTTAGCATCACCATTTAACAAAATATGATCATTCATCCGTTGGACACCTTCAAAAACAAATTGCATCTGCTTATTTTTTTCACTTTTTATTCTCACTCATTTTTCATCGTCGGTCACAAGAAGAAACTAATAGAAAAAAAAATTCATTCTTCCCCAGGGACATATGACACTGTACAATGTATGTGTCTGCATTTATTTTGTAATAAAGAAATTTTTTCCATTTAAACTATTGTTGATTAAAAAAACTTAAATCTTCTGTCATTTTATCAAATAAACACACACACACACACACACACACACGAGCAGACAAACACAGAAAAAAAATACAATGTGAAACACTTGATCTATTCTTTTCGGAAAGAGAAACACAATTTGGACAACCACAATGACATTTCTGACTGGTGAAATTTTTGTTGCTATTTTGCTTACCAATGATAATAATAAAAAAAAAGAGAAACGAAAAAAAAAATTCAAGCGTTCTCTAATTGGACGACAAAAAACGAACAAATTTTCATTAAGTCAATGACAATTTTTTTTTCTTCTTCACGGTGTTTATAAATGATGGCGATGTTGTTACTGGTGATGACGAATAGATAGATGGATGAACGATATAATCTTGAATTATTTAAATAATACAAACCAATCGGGTAGTTAGTTAAAGGTCGTGCAATGCATACATGCATAGCATTAATCCATCTGTTTGTTATTAGTGAATAAGTTTGTTTGACCAACAATCGAATTGAGTTTTTTTTCTGTTTTGTTTTTTTTTTTTTTTTGAAACAAAACAAATTGATTGCCATACATTTTGAAAATCAAACAAAAAAGTTTTTTTTTGCCAATTATATTCTAACCATAGATGAGCATATGTTCAATTCGGTAAATCTATTGCCATTTTTCCCCCAGTATTTTCCTCTTTTAATGTGTCTGTATTTACCTAATTTTCAATGAATGAATGAATGAAAGAATGATCAGAATAAGGAAATTCTAGCATTATTCAGAATCGACAAACTGCATCCGTTTAGAAATGAAAAATGCGGAAAAAATTTTAAAAATAAAAAAAAAAATGTTCCGGTGCATTGATTTATGTGGGACTGGATGGGGGGGAGGAATGAGGGTGAATACTTGAATTTTATTTTTTATTTTTTGGTTTTTCTTTTTTTCCATTTTCTTTTTACATTGTATGCACTAAAACAAGTATGAAAGAATTATTTCTGGATATATCAAAATTCATCCCATATACCAAAAATATCAAAGATGACGATTTGTGGCATTTGAAATGTTACTAAATAATAATAATAATAAAGGCTAAAAGATTATCACAAACCAACAACCACAGACGGAAATATAGATTTACTTACAAATATTACATTGGAAGCAATAATAATAATAATACGAAAGCTCAAACATTTTATATAATCCGATCAATATAGATTGTATATGATTAATTAATGTTTGTATTTTATGTTTGAATCCATCTTGATAGTGTTGTTGAACGAATTTTCGGTTTTTTTTCTGTTGTTGTTGTTGTTTGTTGTTGTTCATTGGAAAACACATTTCCGTTATCAATCAAAACGATCTTGTCTGTATCACACATAAGCATCATTTGAGTCCATATCGCTTGAATCAATATTTGACTCTCTATTCATTTTTTTTCTAGTTCTATTATATACACATACGCCCATATGCCAATCGTTTCATCATTGACTAATACATAGATGTTTTTGTTGATTTGATTCGAACCACCACTAAACGTTCAGCTATATGGAAACAAAATCAAAATCAAAATCAAAAAAAAAAAACTGAGAATGGCAACTGAAAAAAAATCGATCTGTCAGTATTTTCTTTTGTAATTTGTATTTGTTTACATCGAAGATGAACTTTTATTTTTTTTTCTCTGTTGTTTTAATGAATGCAAAAAGATGGAAAGAAAGAAAAAAAAATTTCTTAAATTCCAATGTTTGGCCATGGTATAAACCATACCGCAATTCACACACAATAATTAGAATAAATGAATGAATATCAATAAAAATGTTTATAATACACGGGTTGAATTGGATACCGATTTTCATATATTGAAAAAAATGCACACCCACGCACACACACACATACATACGCATTGAATAGTTTTTTTTCAAGTTTAGATTACCCGAATAAAACTAATTATAAAACGGACGAGGGAAAAATAACTGGAAAGAAATTAAATGAGACAGTGTGGAATTTTTTTTTTGTTTTTCTTTGATTAGACTTTTACACACACACACACACAAGCGAAGCGAGTTGTTATTTATTCTTTTCAGTTTTTTTTTCTTTACTCTCGTACGTTTTCTGATTGGTAATGTCATTGTTTTCGTATTCTTCTAAACAGAAGCTAACAAGACGATTTCAAATGAAATACCACTGATTATTATCATTGCTAATTTGCTATATTTGGATGTCGGTCATTTGGAAAATTGTTTACTTTTTTCCGATGTAGATGTGGATACAAACAACAGCAATATTGGTCAAAACAAAAAAAAATATTGAATATTCCGGTATATTTTTGTTTTTCAATGTTTGTGTGTATCTTATTTTTATTATTTTACTTTTTTCCCTGTTTTTTTTTTTCGTTCATTTTGTTGTTCATGCGTTGCCTTGAATTGGCGCGCAGAAGCGTCTAGGATATCGAATAATAATAATAATAATATAAGTCTTGTCATGTATAAGGCTTCAATTTATAACACAGAAAGAGAATCCCAGAACCGGAGAAAATAAAACCAATATCAAAGGCAGTAGTAGTCTACCGATTTAAGTTGTTGTTATTGTTATTGTTAATGTTACTGTTACTGTTGCTTTCGAAATTTTGGGGTATTCGAAAGATTGACGCCTCTATGGTAATACAAATGCACACACACACACAAACATTCATCAAGATAGAGGATCCTGGTTGATCAGTTACATGGCTTGGGCAAAAAACCCTAGAGAGTGAGAGCTTCTCTCTCTCTCTCTCTCTTCACTTTCTCTTTCATTGGCACAGACGGTTCAAGAACTTTGTTGCAATTATCACATAGACATTGAACATAAAAGCGGCAAATGTTGACTTGGCGCCTTTATTCTTGAAATATATTCTTTCTAATATTGTTTTTTATATTTTTTTTATCTTTCATTTTTTTCTCTATTCCGGATATCTAAGATAGTGTTTGATGATGATCGGTGGTTTGTTCGAATCTGTTCATTCAAGTTGTATCAATTTTTTTTCGTAACTTTTTATCCCTTAAAATGTGAATAAATAAATATTGTGTGTCTGTGTATGTGTTCTATCCATTTATTTTTCTATGTGTTTGTGCCGAATTTATGATCAACATCAACATAAATCGACAATCAAAGAAGAATTATTGAAAAAAGGTAGAATCATTTATTTATTTTTTTTGTCATTCCACATTATTATTATTGATTAACATGAAAAAAAATATTTTCTTGATATTTGAAAGTGATATATATACAGAAAAAAATGATTTGTGATGTAAAAATGTGAAATTCATACATTATCGTGATGTTTGATGGACGGAGAAAAAAATTCGATCAATTTTTTTTGTTGTTGATGATGATCACCATCAATGAGATCATTTTACATTAACCATCATCCGAACGGTAATTCTAGTGCTTATTTGTTGTCAATGTGGTGTGTGTGTATGTGTTTGTGTTTGATATTTCAATTATTTATCAATGAACTAATATGCTGCCAATTGAAGTTTTCCGTTGTAGAAATAGCCAAAATATAATATCCTCAAATGAAAAGAGGCAAAAAAAAAGATTCTTTTCATTTTTTTTTCATTGAGAATTTTTTTTGGTTATTTCTACAGATGAAGGGATGGAAAACCCTTCACATGATCATCATACGAATCTGATCATCATAATATATAACCATCATCAATGAGTAGGCAAGTAATTAATGTGTTTGTAGAATAGATTCTTGAACATTTCATTATATCGATTTCAGTATTCTATTACTATTCGAATGATTGTTATTTTTTTTGTTTTCACTTCATTGGTTATGCTTGTCTTCACCAGCAGCAGAAGCAGCAGCATTATTAATATAATTACATCTCTGTTTTATCTCATCAATGAATATATAATTTTTCTTCTTGATACAATTGATTTATAATCGAGCTATCATCATCATCATCATCATCGTAGTCGTCTGTCAATGAATCTTCAAATTCTACTAAATAAATATCCAAATAGTAGATGTATGTTGTATATGTATTGATTATTTCATGTGATATGCTGCTACATTTACATATTTATTTTTTTTCATTTATTTTTTTGTTTATTTATTGGATTCAATTCAATCATTCAGTTTATGGTTAGTTTTTGTTCTTCATGATGAAGAAAAATGATAAATGCAAATGAATATCCAATGAAATTCTATTCAATTATGATTATTAGTTTATATATACATCAATAATAATAGTTGAATAATGATAATACATCATTATTGTATCGAATAATGTATATATCGATATGATATATTATTGATATTGGGTTCATATTGTTTTTTCATGATAATCAATTAAATTGATAATGAATTAGAAAGAAAAAAAGCTCGAATTTTTTGTATTCTTTTTCTATTTTTATTCTTAATACACGAATTCATTTCATAAATTCAAATTGGAACACGCAGGAACTATTAATTAATATTTTATTCATAGAATATTATTTCAAAATCATGAAATCTTTAGTGGGGCCATCCCAGAAATTTATGGGTATAATGGTGAAAAAAATTTTGAATTTTTTTTTTAAATTTAATTTACTCATCATCGCCGTCGTCACTCTTTTGTTTTATTTTAATGAATAGTGGTTAATGGTTGCCAAGAGACACTCATCGATGGTGTGTACCAAGAAACAAAAATGAAAAAAAAATCCTAAAACTTTTACCACGATCGATGGAAT